GTTTATTTGCACTATTAGATCAATTTGAAGTTACAACAACCATTTATTCATTTACGCCCAGGGGTTATGCTAGCTCAGACCGTGAGTACCTCAACTATCACAAGATCGTAGATCAAAATCCTTTTTATACTATTTAATTAATTTAATTACTTGTTAAAAGGAAAATTTTTATTCCTTTATAATTAATTATCCAATAAATTTTTTTCATCTCTTAATTACCATATTTATATACTGTGTTACTTAAACTTATGACATCTTAATTTTAATAAAAACATATTATCATGTGCTAAAAGAATAAAAAAATATTATTTTTTGTCTAAAAATAGTTATTATTTTTTTACTTTAAATTTATTTTTAATTAATTGTTGTAGTTTTATTTTTAGAATAAAAAAATATTATTTTTTGTCTAAAAATAGTTATTATTTTTTTACTTTAAATTTCTCTTTAATTAATTGTTGTAGTTTTATTTTTTAATGTAAACAAATATTTTTTTTATTTTTAATTTTATCATTATCTATTCACTTTAATTAATCATTTAATTAAAAATTATTTTATAATTTTAAAAAAAATATTATAAATAAATGTAAATATTATTTTTAAATTTTTAATTAAAACTTTTTTAAAATAATAATTATTTTAAGAAAATAAAGCAACGAGTTGGTTAGCTTTTTCTTTTGAACATTTTATAACTGGGGGGAGGAAGAATTTTTCAAAACTTCGGTGAGATTCGAAATCTTGACTTATTAATTTAAACAATTTAAAATTTAAAAACGAACCATTTGAGATTTAAAATTTGGTTCACTGAGTTCGTTAGCTTGTTTGCTATTTACAAAACAATTTTAATAACGAAGAAATCTCGTTTAATGGTAACGACTGAACAAATTGATAACTTTGGGGTTAGAAATTTAAGGGGGAAAACGAAAAAAAAAATTAAAAAAAGGCTAACTAGAGCAAAGAAAGTATGGAGGCTTAATTGTCATTTCTTGTTAAGTAGATGGGCTTATATTTGGAGTCCTGTGTAAATGTAATTCAATTAGTTGGATCCGAATTGCCAAAATTCCCTTGCAAACAAACACAGATAACTTTGACAGGTTGCTGATGCATGTCAGTTCTATCCTATCCTTGAAATAATGGACCCTAGTCAAATTAAATTTGATACATTTTTTTTACTATAATTTTCCAACCGTCCGTCCATAATCATAGCACCACGTGGGTTAGGCATGTTTCAGTACGAAAGCCACAGTATTATCGAGCTGCTATTGCGGTGGCATGCCATAATGAGCAGAGCAGGGACAAATAATTTCTGATTGCTGTTTGGGAAGGTTTGCTTTCCTCCTTGCGGTAGGGGTCCTTTGGTGAAGCTTCTGCGTTGCTCACTGCTTTCGTACA